TAACTTCTCAGCAAATTCATCAATTGACTCTGAATAATGCATCTTCAAATTATCAAATTCCGCATTTAGGGTTTGGAGACGAGCTTCTCTAACCCTCTCAGCCCCCAAGTGACGAGTTTTGATTGCATCCCACAGATCCTTCGCAGTCTTCTCATTGCCTACTTGCAATATCAGATTTTCTGGAATTGATTGAAACAACAGTGCAGTTGCCATATCATTCTTCTCGGCATCAGCTGTGCCTGGTTCAATCGTTTCCCACACTTTATGAACCCTTAAGACGACTTTCATTCTCATGGCCCATACAGTGTAGTTCGTAGCGTTTAGCATTGGACATTGAACAGCTGTAAGTCCAACTCCCTTAGCCTTCGGTTGTGGTTTCTGGGATTCTGTCATAATTTTTGTTTACTCGACTCAAACAGTAGCCGGATTAAACCTCACTTGTTTAATCAAAACACAATAGTGGACCAAAGACCTTCTGCCCAACTTCCTCTCCTTTTAATCCTTTGGATCGGCAACCAACTGTACTTGGATGGATGGCCTGCGACGGCTTGCGACCTGGACGACGGCGAGGGCTCACGGCTGACCAGCTGCGGTGGCGATCTCCTCGAACCAGCGGCGTCAACTGAGTACGGCGGCAGCGGCGGCGGTAGGTCTATTAGAGCGACTCTCCCTTAGCGGCTCAGACCTGCGCGCGATTCTGACGCGACGACTTCTCTGCACGCGGCTAGCGGCGGCGGTTGGGCGATGGCGGCTTGGGACTGGGTGGCTTCTCGACGGCGGTGCTGTGGCCAGTCAAATATGGACAGCGGTACTGTGTGGATGTTAGATCTGGTTCGCGACTGTGCTGTGCGAGATCGGGAAACGCCGGGGTGTGGTCCTCTGTCCGGCTGCGATTGAAGCGTAAACAGGGACGGCGACGGCGATCTACCTCCTCCTGCTACGTTCTCCTGCCCTCTGGTGACGCCGATCCCCACTCGTGCAAGTCCCTTCAGATTCAACGACTGAATTGATTTTTTTTTTTACGATTTGTGCTCTGATACCAATTGTTAGAGATTGTTGGAAACAATCTCTTTATTATAACTGGAAAATAACTCAAAACCAATTACAATACCTCTCATATGTTTCACATATGGCTCTCACATCAAAACCCAAGGCTTGGCTATGATATATATAGTGTTAACCCAACTTGGCCAACAAGTAATCTAGGATCCATAATTCTATTCCTACTTGAACTAGAATATCTCGGGTAATCCTAATCCTACTCGATAATTAGTCAACAATTGTTACCCCCCAACCACCTCCGTTTCCGGTAATCCTCGTTCATCACTAATTAAATCATAATTTTAAATCTTTCCAAACAAATTCGTTTCAGATTTCAAAACTCATACTCCCTCCGTCCCACAAAAAAGTTCCCATTTTGAATAGTATTTAGTCAAATATTTACATGTTTTGACTACAAATTGTGAGAAAGGTATATTGAATTATGAAATAAATTTTATATAATTGGATTCATCTTAGGATCTAGTTTTGATATCTCAAATTTTTTTAGCATTTCTTTATTTAGATTATTTTTAATTTAAGGTCAAAGTGTGCAACAGTTTGACCAATTTATGGTCAAAATGGGAACTTTTTTGTGGGACGAAGGAAGTATCATTTCTCTCTGATTAATTTCATAACTCATATTTTATGATATCTCCAAAAAAATTTACCAAACGGGCCCTAAATTGAGTTAATTGGTTGGAAGTAGGAAAAAAAGTTAGTGGAGAGTGTGAAATGGTAGCTAGGACGTGTACATGCATGCACATTCATTTCATTCTCATCTCTAAAGACATACATGGCGTACCTACGGTCTCCATCACTTGCAACAAAAAGGTGCTCAAATTCGGTTGTTTTGCCGTTTGTGTTGAAACCTTAAAAAAAGTTAAAAGATTATAATGGATTTGTGCACTTGAAATAAAAATGACATGTCCAAGTTTAATGTATGCTGATTAGATGCATGTAGATAAGGTTGTTCTCCATCCCTTTTGATCTAATTTTTTAATTTGACCTTCTAATTATACTCTTACTATCGAAGAAAAAAAGAGAGACAAATCATTTAAATGACTTATTATATCAATGCAAATTGAATGGAATATATTGTAAAAACTTAATTTAGATATATTACCCATTTTTTACAAAAAAAAGAAAGTGTTTTTGGAAAAACGAAAAAAATGAAAGAGGAACGGAGGGATCGGAGTACTATATATACAAATATATTGTGTTTCGGTATAAATGTAATATCAATGATTTCTTTAATTTTTGAAACATAGTTTTGAAATGTAAAATTTTTATAATATATATCTATGTATAAATATCGTTATCAATGGTCAAAGTGCAGTGTTACATTAGAGATTATGAAAAGTCAAATGAAAAAAGCTTGAGTCCAGAGCCGAGACGAAGGGAGTATCAAGTATTAGTGTTTGACATTTCAAGGAACTAATTGAATTTAATACTCAGTAAAAAAACTATTTCTTTTTATAAAAAAAACTAGATGATGTTGAAGTTTAGATTCGTGACATCTCGGCCACTCATGTTTTGATACCATCTCAATAAACTAAACATTTTTTCTCTAACTATCATTTATAAAAATAATATAGATCATGTCGTGTTCTATTTATTAAAAATTTCAATGTAATTATAATTTTTACAATTTTTTTTAAAATTTGTGTACATAGTACTAATATTTAAATAAATTTAACTTAAATTGGCTTCACTCGTTTTGGAGAGTCTAGATTTCACACTCTTGCTTAGTCATTCCTCAGTAAGGTCCCCATCACTTCCAACAATAAAGGGGAGATGCACTTTAAAGCAAAATCTGCTTGCTTAGCCCTTTGTGTTAAATAAAACTTTAATAAAAGTGAAAATAAAGATAATAATGGATTTGCAGTTGATAAAAACGACTTATAAAACCATATAACAAATTTAATGGAAGCTGATTAGATCATTTGGGGGTGTAAAATAAACTTTGTGCAATTTTTGACTCACAAACTTGTAGATGAAGTTAACAAAGAGGAAAAGAGAATAAGATCATATAAATGAGAGAATTTTTGTGTTTGAGCCAATGTATATAAGTTTGTAGTTCTGAAAGTGAAAGAACAAGTGTTGTGAATGACTAAGGTCATGTTCTTCACGCAATCTGAATGATTCTGATTTGATT